TACAGGCGTAAGCCACCACACCTGGCCCTGTATATTTCTATATACATAAATGTATGCTTTATATATGTATGCATATCTTAAAATACATACATATATGTATAAACACACATATATAAGTATGCTTTATATATGTATATATACACATATATAATATAAACAATTGCAATATTCAACTTCTGATGCTGATTCAAAAAAATGTAAATAATTATGCTAAAGTGACATATAGAAATAAATGAAATATCTATGAGTCAAAGAAATCTGAACACTGACTAGATACTTCTTAGGTGTGGTAATAATATTGTAGTTATCTTTTTTTGGAAAGCCCTTGTCTGTTAGATAGGGACACTAAAATATTTATGGTTCAAATAATATGATATCTGGGATTTTCCTCCAAATAATCCTGTGAGAGGAAAAATAGGTAGTAGTATGAATGAAACAAGATTGGCCATGATTTGATAATACAGGTTGAACATCTCTAATCTGAACCTGAAATGCTCCCAAATCCAAAATATTTTAGCACTGACATGATGCCACTAGATGAAAATTCCACACCTGGCCTCATATGATGAGCTGCAATAAAACCTTTGCTTCATGCACGGAATTATTTTAAAATGCTGTATAAAATTACCTTCAGACTATGTGTGTAAGGTATATATGAAATATAACTGAATTTCATGTTTAGACTTGGGTCCCTCCCCCAAGACATCTCATTAAGTGTATGCAAATATTCCAAAACCCAAAATGAATCTGAAATTCAAAACCCTTCTGGTCCCAAGCATTTCAGACAAGACATATTCAAACTGTAGTTGAAGTAAGGTGATGGGTTCATTATACCATCCTTTCTACGGTTGTATAGGTTTGAAAATTTCTAAATAAGACAGCTTAAAAAGTCGCAAATAAAAACCTAAGGAGAGGTGTGTTAGGTGACTTGATCGGTTAGTAACCAAGCTAATCCTAGATGCCAAGTCTACCTCCTTGGAGTTCTCAGGGCTCTGAATCATCTTATTAATAAAGGGAGAAATATGAACATCAGTAATGTAACAGGGTACAAGGCCTCACTCGAGTGGTTCCTCAAAAAATCATTAAATTGGCCAGGCATGGTGGCTCACGCCTGTAATCCCAGCACTTTGGGAGGCCGAGGCAGGTGGATCACGAGGTCAGGAGTTCGAGACCAGCCTGGCCAATA